CCACTATAGCCTACACAAACAAGTAAGCTATATGTTCTGACACACCCCCATAGGCAAAGTGGGGGAGAACAAGGGGTCACAAGACCAGTCAAGCAAAGCAAAGCAAAGCTCAGGGTGGATCACAAAGTCACCACGCATTCCGAGCACAAGTTCAAAGGCCACAAGGCCAGTTCACATGCAAGATCATATATAGAGGTATACAAGAGTCAAGCAAGCAAGAGCAAGAGTATATATATGCGAAGGTACAAGCAAGGTCAAGAGGAGAGCAAGTGAGGCAAGACAGGCACAAGACCCAACTGCGTGCAGCAACGCAGATGATCACAAGGCGCAAGTGCCTTGGTGAAGACATCAGCAGTGTTGGCCTCAGAGGCCACGTACGCAAGTTGCAGCTGTCCACGCTGCTGTAGCTCACGAGCAAGAAAGTAGCGAAGAGCAATGTGCTTCGATCTGTGCTCCAGTCGCTGCTCTCGACACAAGGCCAACATAGCCTTGCTGTCTACGTACAGGACTGGAGGAGAACGAGGCTGCTCTCCAAGGTCGGTCAGCAGGTAGGTGAGCCAGCGTAACTCCTATGCAGCCATAGCCCCAGCGTAGATCTCAGCCTCACAACTGGAGCCGAGAACAGAAGACGAGCGGGTAGCCCGCCACGAGACAGAGCCGGAACCAAGGCTGAAGGTGTAACCCTGTGACGACCGCTGCGTAGCCTGGTCGTCAGCCCAAGAAGCGTCTGCGTGCCCAGTGAGGACCACTAGACTGCGCCCTCCAAGCACTAGCCCCATGCCCGACGTACTGCACAAGTAGCGCAACACCCTCTTCGCTGCAGCCATGTGCTCTGGTTGGTGTCTCCCAGGAGCAACAAAGCGTCTGCGAGAATGCTAAGAGGGTATGCGAGGTCAGGTCGTGTGCAGGTCATCAGGTACATGAGGCAGCCAACAAGCTCTGCAAACGGGCCACTCGACTCTACGGACTCATCCGAAGGCAGAGCTGAGAGCGAGTGGCGAGTAGGCAGAGGAGTGGCCTGAGGCGAGGAGTACGTGAAGCCGAAGCGCTGAAGGACCTGCTGCACCATGTGTGACTGAGTCAGGGTAATGGTGCGGCGTGCTCTGTCCCGGGTGATCTGCAAGCCAAGGTAGCTGCGCAGTTCACCCAGGTCAGTGCACGTGTGTCTCTTCTGCAGCTCGGACTTCATGTAGGCGAGTCCAGCAGTGTCAGCTGTGGCAAAGACCAAGTCGTCGACGTACACGAGGATGTAGAACGGCGGTAGAGAGGTGTCGGTGCGCAGAAACAGCGACGGGTCGGCAGTGGAAGGAGCAAACCCAAGTGCCGCGAGCGTAGTCCTCAGTGTGTCGTGCCACTCACGTGGCGCCTGGCGGAGACCGTAGACTGGACGCCGGAGACTCCACTGGGTACCAGGAGGGAAAGACCCAGTGAAGCCAGGTGGGCGACGCAGCCAGATCTCCTCGTGCAGGCTGCCCTGCAAGAAAGCTGTGCTGAAGTCGAGAGAGTGCAGCTCGTAGTCACGGTGAGCAGCAACGTGCAGCAGAACCCGAAGAGTGGTCATCTTCGGGGTGGGGGAGAAGGTCTGAAAGTAGTCAACCCCCTGCCGCTGACTGAAGCCACGAGCCACGTAACGCGCCTTGAAGACAGGCGGAGATCCCGGCGGCCGCTTCACCCTGAAAATCCACATGCCACTGACGATGTTCGCCCCAGGAGGGGGAACAGCGTCAACGTAGGTGCCTGTGGACTTCCAGGAAGCCATCTCTGCATCCATAGCTGCCTGCCACTGAGAGGAGTAGGGACCCTCTATCGCCTCCGCGTAAGAGCGCGGAGTCGGGATGTCTGGTGCATCCGGGTCTCCCTCAGGGGCTAGCAGTACAGACGCGAGACGAGGTGAAGCGGCGGCCAGACACTGGAACTCCTCCTGCCTGTCCTCAAGGACGTCCATGCCAAGGGCACACTCACCCCCGACGGACGGAGGACAGGCAGACTCAGACTCAGCGACAAGACGAGCAGCGTAGTCTAGACGACAGCGCGCAGCAAAGTCGACAAGCTCAATGACAAGGGCAGACGCAGCAGACGACTCGAAGGAGGGGTCAGTGACAGCAGTAGCCAGGAGACGCGTGACAGTAGGACTGGCAGCACGAAGAGAGTCCGACTCCGGGTCGGCAAGAGCAGGAAGAGAGGAAGCAGGAGGAGAAGGCAAAGGGGCACGCAGAGGAGCAGTGGACGGACGCAGTGACATCCGGTGCGTGCCAGGGACAGGAGGAGGACGCTGACGCGACCCGCGACCACTAGCGCGCTCAGTACGAGCAGGCGACACAGGACGAGACGCAGGCTCACGACGCTGAGTAAGACCTCTAGTCGGACCAGCGTAGGGAGAAGGAGCAGGCAAAGGGGAGGCAGGCTGTAGCTGTGGCTGTGACCGGACAGGCTGCGGACCCTCTAAGGGAGGAGGAGGAGGTGTAAGACCAAGAACCTGCTACAGGAGCGGAACGAAGTACGGTCGGGGCCGCGCGGCGACGCTAGAAACAGCAGGAACAGCACCAGCAGTCCCGGCAGGAGCACCCACTCCAGCAGCACCTCCAGCAGCACCACTAGAAGCTCCAGAACCCCCAGCCGCAGCACCAGGAGCACTGTCAGTCGGACCGCCAACGGCAGGCTCAGCGCCAACACCCTCAGCAGAACCAGCTCCAGGAGAACTCTCAGACCCAGCAGCTCCAGCACCCACAGTGCGAGCACCGGCGGGACGCGCGGCAGCAGTACCCTCTGCAGCCGAAGAACCACCCGCACCAGCAGCACGCCTCCAGCGCCTGGCAAACCACTCACGCAGCTCCTGTGGGGAGAGTGGCTCCCGGCGAGACGAAGCACCCCCACGCACAGCACCTCCAGGCTCAGAACCCCTAGACACAGCACCCCCAGGCACAGCACCCCCAGGCTCAGCAACCTCAGGCACAGCACCCCCAGGCGCAGCACCTCCAGGCTCAGCACCCCCAGGCACAGCACCCCCAGACTCGGCACCTCCAGGCTCAGCACCCCTAGGCACAGCACCCCCAGGCTCAGCACCTCCAGGCTCAGCACCCCCAGACTCTGCACCCCCAGGCTCAGCTCCCGCAGCAGCACCAGAGTCACCAGTGACCTCGACAGGCTCGACCGCGTCTACCTGGGACACACCTGAAGGGGCAGGACCCTGAGGGGGGAGGGGGACTACCGGGGGGGGACCTGGTACCAAGAAGAGCGGGGGTGGGGGGAGGGACGGAGTGCGGTAGGGGAAGAGGCGGTAGTAGGGTACCGACTCGTCAAACGTGACGTCCTGGGAGGACAGAACACGTCGAGAGGTGGGGTGGTAAAACTGCCACCCAGGGGCGTCGGGGGGGAACCCCAGGAAGACGCAGGGAGAAGCACGAGGGGACAGCTTGTCCGCAGACAGGTCGCGAACAAACGCCCGAGATCCCCAGACCCGGAACGCCGACGCATCGCCAACCTTCCCCGTCCACAGCAGGGCTGGGGAGGTCTCCGGTCGAGAGACCCTGGGGTGGAGGTTGATCTGGTGCGCAGCGTAACTGACCGCAAACGGCCACAGAAAATGGGGAGCAGCCGCATGCATCATGGACGTACGAGCGACGTCCATGACCATGCCAATGCGGCGCTCAGCAATCCCATTCTGCTGTGGTGAGTCCGGAAGCGTGAAGGTCTGACGGATGCCTCGCGCACGACAGTAGGCACTCAGGAGGCCAGAGGAGAACTCTCCGCCTCTGTCCGAGTGCAGACGTAAAACAGGGAAGTCAGAGCCAAAGCTCCTCCGAAGCTGGAGACGAGCTGCGCGGATCCAGTCGATCAACACCTCAGTGACCTCACCCTTGCTGCGCAAGGGGAAGACTGCGGTGTAACGCGAGTAGTCGTCAACCACCAGCAGGAAGTAGCGCTCGTGACCCTGTCCACGGACGCGGGCTGGGCCCCACACGTCCATGTGAAGCGTCTGCAACGGGGCCTCTGTCGGAGGAAACTGGGAGGAGTGAGGGGCAGCACGCTGGCGCCCCTCGACACAGGGGACACAGGTGGGGCCAGGGCCCGGAGGAAGGGGAGGGAGAGACCGGGGAAGACCAGACACAAGGACTCGCGAGGCCATGCCTCTGAGCCAAAGGAGAGAGGGGTGGCCAAGGCGGTGGTGCCAGAGGAGGGTCTCGTGAGACAGACGACGACACGAGCAGGGGGCAGACTCAGGACCAGACCTGGACGCTGCAGCAAACACCTGACCAGACGAAGGGACCCTACCAGACTCAGCACCTGGAGGAGAAGCAGTGGTCAGTGTGTACAGGCTCGACCCTGGCCGACGTGTAAAAGTAGCCAGGTGGCGACCTGTATCCGCCTCCGTGCAGTGGGTCACCCGCTGACGAGCAGGGGTGAACTGGTGGACACCCACATCCTGGAGGTCAGCACCACTCACCAAGTTCGTCGAGAACGAGGGGAGGTAGAGACCAGTCAGGGTGCCAGAGGGGGCCGCCGGACACGGGAGGACAGTGGAGAAGCGAGACAGGACAGGCCCCCCAGAGGGGTCAGCCAGGGACACCGCAACCGGCCGACTCAGCGGCGTGAGAGTGGTGCGGTCCCTAAAGAAGGACCAAGACGCTCCAGAGTCAAGGGTGAAGGTGTGAGAGGCCGAAGCCGACACAGTACCTGAGAGGGCAGACTCACCAGCACCTGAGAGCACAGACGCACTGGCACCTAGAGCAGCAGCCTCACTAGTACCTGACGCGGCAGTACCAATGCCCGGGTCGGGCGGGAAACACCGGTAACAGTCATCCTCATCACTACCAGTCACAGCATACATAGCAGAGAGAATAGCATCAAAATCAAGATCATAAATAGCTACACCAGCCCTAGACAGCTCTCCCCAGCGGGGGATCTCAGCGGCCTCCGGAAACTGCTGACGCCAGGCGTCGGTCAGGCGGCCAAAGCAGCGGCGGGCTGTGTGGGCGCCTCCACACCTCTCCCCTGCACGGTCACCTGTGCGAAGAACGTAGGGGCACGGACCAAGCGCACCACCACGCTGACGCTGCAAGTACCACTCACGGAGCTGCTGAGGGGCGGGGACGGTGCGAGAGCGCTGCTGCTGCTGTGGCTGCTGCTGCGGCTGCTGCTGCTGCTGCTGCTGCTGGCGCTGACCACCCCCAGAGCTTCTCCGCTGGGACGAGCCACTCCGACCCCCGCCTCCACCGCCACCCCCGCCTCCACCGCCACCCCCGTCTCCACCGCCACCTCCCCCACCAGGACCGTCGCTCCCACCGCTCCCACCGCCTCCTCCGCTACAACCTCCACCGCCACCTCCGCCTCCACCGCCGCCACCAGTACCTCCACTCCCGCCACCACCCCACCGCCACCCCCACTCCCCCCGCCACCCCCACCGCCTCCTCCACGGCCCCCTCTAGTTCCACCCGCTCCCTTGCCCCCTTTGCCCTTGCCAGAGCGGCGTCTGCCGCTGGGGGCAGACGCCGCGCCGACCGACTCAAAACCAGTGAGGTCGGCCGCAGCGGCAGAGGCGACAGAGGGCAGCAGGGGGGAAGGACCACACCCCTCAAAGATGGGGGTGCGAGGGTCACCCCGAGAGGCCCCTACAGCGACAATACTCTTCTCAGCCGCTAGCAGGGACTCCTCAAGGAGATCGACAGTGAGAGTGGTGGGACAGACAGAGAGAAACTGGTCCCTAACGGCACGAAGGGACTCAGGGAGACGGGTGACGAGAAAGTAGAGAGTGATGTACATGGGAGGAGGGTTCGCAGCGCGGAACTCAGCAGGAAGGGCAGCGCGGTAGCGGGTGTCACTAGCACGGAGGTGGGTAACGAGGTCAGCAACAGTGGGAAAGGAGGCGAGGTCAGGGAAGAGAAACGGTAGCATGAGGCGGCTAAGGGTAGCGGAGGAAGGGGAGGAGTAGCGTGCAACTACAGCGTCGTACAAGGCCTGAGCGGTCTTGCACTGACTAAAGTGGGCACGCTCAGAGGAAGGGAGGTGGCGACGCACAGCAAGACGTGCAGCAGCATCGCGGGTCGCCCACTTGGAGCGAACGGCAGAGTCAGCATCAGCAGGTGGGGCAGGGACAGCGCCAGAGACAAAGTCAAAGAGAGAGACCTCATCTATCGCATCACATAGTAAGTACAGCTGCAGGTCTTCAATCCAGACGGCAAAGTCAATGGCCCTCCCCTCAGCGTCAAAAGTAAGGACATTGGGGGTGGCCATGGCAGCAGCTGAAAGTCTCACCGGGCTGGGAGAGTCGGGTAGTGCAGCAGCAGAGGAACACAGCTCAGGAACAGCGGCACGGCTCGGGCGGCTCGGGTTGCTGGGGCGGCGCGGGCGGCTCGGGCGGCTCGGGCGGCTCGGGCGGCTCGGGCGGCTCGGGCGGCTTGGGCGGCTGGGGCGGCTCGGGCGGCTCGCGCGGCTCGGGCGGCTCGGGCGGCTCGGGCGGCTCGGGTTGCTGGGGCGGCGCGGGCGGCTCGGGCGGCTCGGGCTGCTGGGCTGTACGGGCGGCTCGTGCGGCGCTGGTGTCGCGACGGGCGGCTCACTGGCGGCTCGCGGGCGGCTGCACAGGCGGCTCAGGGACGGCGGCGCGGGCGGCTCAGGGAGCTCACGGGCGGCTGCGACGGGCGGTTCGCGGGCGTCGGGCGCTAGGGCGTTGGGGCGACGGCGGGCGGCACTCAGGCGTTCGGGCGGGAGGCCGTAAGGGCGAAAGGGCGGTCGGTGCTCGGGCGCTAGGGCGGGCGGCCGGCCGTCAGGGCGCTAGGGCGGGCGGCCGTCAGGGCGCTAGGGCGAGCGGCGCTCGGGCGCTAGGGCGGGCGGCCGTCAGGGCTCTAGGGCGGGCGGCGCTCGGGCGCTAGGGCGGGCGGCGCTCGGGCGCTAGGGCGGGCGGCGCTCGGGCGCTAGGGCGGGCGGCGCTCGGGCGCTGGGGCGGGCGGCCGTCAGGGCGCTAGGGCGGGCGGCCGTCAGGGCGCTAGGGCGGTTGGCGCTCGGGCGCTAGGGCGGGCGGCCGTCAGGGCGCTAGGGCGGGCGGCCGTCAGGGCGCTAGGGCGGGCGGCCGTCAGGGCACTAGGGCGGGCGGCCGTAAGAGGAGGGAGCGGCAGGAGCGCGACGGTAGGGGCGACACGCAGGGTCGCTAAAAAAAAGAACGCGCGCCTCGGGGCGCGCTTCGGTGGGCCCTAGGAACAGTCCCTAGGAGGGGACCTGCTCTGATTCCATGAGAAGAATTGAACGAGAATGAAATGAGTATGAACGAAGTGAGTACAAATAGGAAACCCTAATTGTGTTGTACCCCCTATGGGATACCCCACTATAGCCTACACAAACAAGTAAGCTATATGTTCTGACAGCTAGAGCATAAGATAACATTCTGACACCATCGCCTTGCACGAATCGCCTACGAAATACATACCTTCGCCTTAACTCATCGTCAAGCGAAGGTCCCGTGAAAAGCTGTACTGAAAAAGACCCCATAGCTGAACGAAGACAACCGTCCTAAAAAATGCCTTCCGCGTTACCTGCGTACACACACAATTTCGTATTAATGAATAACAAATAACAATCAGATGCACAGATCAGCTGAAACGGGTCGCATTATAGAATGATATTACAACTTGAACTTAATAAAAAATCATAAAATCTGATAAAAAGAAGCCAGTGTTTTATTAAAAAATAATATTACTCGTTACAAAATCATACAATTGAATAACGAGAATCAAAACACGGAACAGCTCACTTCAGCGCTCTCCGCAATGCTAGAGTAGATCGATGCAATCGACTGTATTGTTGATGGCTCTGCAAGATAATGAACAGAATATGAAACACATTGTTTAAAGAGAAAATATACAACATTAAACAATAATTACAATATTCAATAATAAACATAGGTAGAAATTTCATTCCATAGTGCAGTGGAACAACGATTATCTAAATATCCACTATGATAATTCACACATTCTTTGATTAGCAATGGATCCAACCTTCAGTTTAATGAGCTATAATGAAACGAAAATACAAAATTTGAAGAAAAACGTAAAACTACTAAAATAGAAAAATGCAGAATCATATGTTCAACACTATTCATACTTGGTATTACGGAACCACATACTTGAATTGCAGAGAGTGGCTCAAAAACAGCTACTCAATGAATTGAGAACCAGAAATTGTCAGAACATCTGGAAAAACAAAAAACAAGCAGCAAAATATCACATTAGTTGATGCTCTTACATGACAACAGATCGTCATACATGATACAAAATTATTACTACATAGTTGCAGTTACAACTCTCACACTTATAACTGCACACTGGAGTTCGTAAAAAATGGAAAAGGATTATAACATCTACATGTGTAAAATACAATTGTGTAAAAAACAATAGCGTCAATGGATGCTATTGGTGAAATTGTTGTGCAACTAGAAGTTAATAAGGAAAGAGAATTGCAATGAAACCATTCACAAATCATGATGTTCCAAGAGTGCATGTCTATAATAGTAGTTGAAAACATGACAACACAACAAAGATTTCAAGGGGGAAAATGTAGTTAAAAAGGTAAACACACACATTGATACACACACACGTTTTTGAATCCAGCGGGGAAGCTTTCTTCTTGAGCGGCTGAAAGACACACACACGGGATTCGACATGGGGAAGCAATCAAGATAAGGCAATCAAGATAAAAATAACCATAACAAAGAAACTTTTCAGCAACAGCAACAAAAAAGGGTGAAAGAACAATATTAGAGACACGAAATTGCTGTTCTGGACAGTTAGAGTATGTAATCTTACCTATGGACGCACGTACTAAGTAGTTGGCTTGAAGATCTAAGGTAGAAGAACAAGAGTTGTAGGAAACTTGTGAGAAGAGTTCTCAGGTAATTGTGAGATGAGTTTGAGAAGTTGAGCAAGCTCAAGGTTGTCTAACCTAATGGAAGAAGAATTGCTTGAGCAGGAAGGGAAAGATGGGGTTGAAGAAGACCAGCTTGAGCAGGAAGGGAAAGATGGGGTTGAAGAAGACCAGCTTGAGCAGGAAGGGAAAGATGGGGTTGAAGAAGACCAGCTTGAGCAGGAAGGGAAAGATAGGGTGGAAGGAGACTTGTTTGAGAAAGAATGGAAAGATGGGGTGCTTTCCTAGAAAACGTTTTTTTTTTCCCGTGTGAAAACTGCCCTTGAGGAGTCCATCATAAAATGTATCATGAAATTTGCTCAGATGTTGATGCACATTCCTTAACTTGAACTATTTTAGTTGCCCAATTGTCACCTTTCCAAAGAGTTGTTTTCATTGGACAGAATCAAATGGTCCTTCCTGATGTTATTCAGCCACTCAGTGGAGAGGTGAGTACAAAATCTGCACATGGGAATAGCTACAACTCTCAGCCACAATCAATTTCATAACAAGTTGGCCTTTGTAGTTTATGGCACTAGAGATAGCATGGCATATGAAACTGAAACAGTTGGAATCGGATCTTTCCGCAATCAGATCGGTCCTGATTTTTACAGTTACTACCGTAGAAACTGACACCTTGAAACCGCGTCAACAGTGCCTGTTGGAATCACTGAACAGGAATGAATGAACTAGCAGTGAAATGAGGACAAGTACCTAATGTGAACAAGTGAACGAGGATGGATGAACTATGAATGAAGTGGGTACAAGTACTAACCCTAATTGGGTTGTACCCCCTATGGGATACCCCACTATAGCCTACACAAAAGCATAAGCTATAATGTTCTAACACACCCCCATAGGCAAAGTGGGGGAGAACAAGGGGTCACAAGACCAGTCAAGCAAAGCAAAGCAAAGCAAGCTCAGGGTGGATCACAACGTCACCACAAAGTCTGAGCACAAGGTCAAGGCCACAAGGCCAATTCACATGCAGGAGAAGGCATATATATATATAAGTCTAAACAAGCAAGAGTAGCCATATATATATGCAAGAGTACAAGTAAGGTCAAAAGGTGAGCAAGTGAGGCAAGACTGGGACAAGTCCCAGCTGAGTGCAGAAGCGCTGATGATCACAAGGCGGAAGTGCCTTGGTGAAAACATCAGCAGTGTTGGCCTCAGAGGCCACGTACGCAAGTCGCAACTGACCATGCTGCTGCAGCTCACGAGCAAGAAAGTAGCGGAGAGCAATGTGCTTCGTTCTGTGCTCCAAGCGCTGCTCTCGACACAAGGCCAGCATGGCCTTGTTGTCTACGTACAGGACTGGAGGAGAACGAGGCGGCTCTCCAAGGTCAGTCAGCAGGTAGGTGAGCCAGCGAAGCTCCTGAGCAGCCATGGCCCCGGCGTAGATCTCAGCCTCACATCTGGAGCCGAGAACAGAAGACGAGCGAGTAGCCCGCCACGAAACAGAGCCGGAACCAAGACTGAAGGTGTAACTCTGCGACGACCGCTGAGTAGCCTGGTCGTCAGCCCAAGAAGCGTCCGCGTGCCTAGTGAGAACCACTGGACTCCGCCCTCCAAGCACTAGCCCCATGCCCGACGTACTGCACAAGTAGCGCAACACCCTCTTCGCTGCAGCCATGTGCTGTGGTCGGTGTCTCCCACGAGCAACATAGCGTGCGAGAATGCTAAGAGGGTATGCAAGGTCAGGTCGTGTGCAGGTCATCAGGTACATGAGGCAGCCAACAAGCTCTGGGTACGGGCCACTCGACTCTACGGACTCATCCGAAGGCAGAGTTGAGAGCGAGTGGCGAGTAGACAGAGGAGTGGCCTGAGGCGAGGAGTACGTGAAGCCGAAGCGCTGAAGGACCTGCTGCACCATGTGTGACTGAGTCAAGGTAATGGTGCGGCGTGCTCTGTCCCGAGTGATCTGCAAGCCAAGGTAGCTGCGCAGTTCACCCAGGTCTGTGCACGTGTGTCTCTTCTGCAGCTCGGACTTCACGTAGGCGAGTCCAGCAGTGTCCGCTGTGGCAAAGACCAAGTCGTCGACGTACACGAGGATGTAGAACGGCGGCAGAGAAGTGTCGGCGCACAGAAACAACGACGGGTCAGTAGTAGAGGGAGCAAACCCAAGAGCCGCAAGCGTAGTCCTCAGTGTGTCGTGCCACTCACGCGGTGCCTGGCGGAGACCGTAGACTGGCCGTCGGAGGCTCCACTGGGTGCCAGGAGGGAAAGTCCCAGTGAAGCCAGGTGGACGGCGCAGCCAGATCTCCTCGTGCAGGCTACCCTGCAAGAAAGCAGTGCTGAAGTCAAGAGAGTGAAGCTCGTAGTCGCGCTGAGCGGCTAAG